GTGAAGTGACTAGTGCTACATCACAAAGACAACGGCAGTGTCTGGGCTTTAAGATCAGAACTGCTTCCATCTCAAGGGCCTATTTGTTGACTTGAGTACAAAGGGGAAACCCCCATGCTCCTACCCACATATTCACATTTCAAGAGCAAAGTGGGGACTGAGTCATGTATGGAAGACAGCATTTGGGTCAGAAAAGCCCTTGAATTGCAGGTCACCTCTGAGTGGCGAAGGGAAAAGAGAAAAGCAACGAATAAGCCCCCAGAGGCACTGTGACCTCACTTAGGGGTCTGTGTCAACGGCTTTTAATTTACAAACACAGGGATATATACTCTGTCAGTGTCTAGTTTTGCTGTTTCTGGGGAAAAAAAGATATCAGATCCCACCTTTACCACCACTCAACAGCCTCAGGAATACAGTTCTAAAGTGAAAATAACATTGGCTGAAACCCTCCGTGGTGACCTCTACAAAAGCCATTTACACAGGCTCGGCTGTGCAGGCTTTATCAGGAAACCAGGCTGACACCGGAAAATACCACCACTCAGATAAAAGGTAGAAGACACTTAAGCCGAGTGGCTCCTAGCATTGAAAATCTAACTAATTAAACTCAGTCTCTTAAAAGAAAAAGTTGGAAAAGCTAAAAGCTGGCAGAAAAAAAATATACTCTTACTTTTGAGCATAATGAGTGAGAATACAGAAGAATCCTTTGGCTTCCTCACTTTAAAAATTTAGTCCTGTAATTATTTCCAGATAGTATTCTTCAGAAACCAACTGTGGACCTCTACTCATTTCCACGCAAATGTACAGAGCGCTGTCCAAGGTACTACGGGTTGGAGGGAAACCCTCTCTGCTATCAAGAGCATAGAACCTGCTGTGAGGCCAGAAGCCTGTGGGAGTTCAGGCATTCCCACGCCTCAGCAGCCTGCACTGATAAAGCGGCAAGGGGTAATGCTCATTGTAAATGATGGGGATGTGAGTCCAGACTCTACTTCCTCTAGTCCTGTGATCTTGAGAAGACCCATTCGGCCCACACTTAACACACTGCCTGGCACAAAGCAAGTATTCAGTATATGGTTGTAAAAGGAAGGAAGGTGGGCAAGCAGCCATCCACATGTTGGGTGCACTTATCTCTTCAAGACATTTCTCATCAACAAAATGGGAATAATAATGTCTACTTTATGTACCTCACAGGATCAGAATGTATGCAACCACTGTATGCTTAAGTCATTAACAGGTTCGGATTAATGGACAGGTCAAATACAGACCCACTGGGTTAATCAAACAAGTTATTTATGCAAAGCAAGGTCTGGCAAACTATAGCCCATGGGCTAAATCCACCCACTACCTGTGTTTGTAGGGTCCATGAGAAAAGAATGGTCTTTACAAATAAACATTTACAACCAATTTGATAGTGAGGAAAACTAATTTTTTTATCCCAATTCAGCTACATGTTATCTCCACCTCTCCCCCCAATTCCATTCTTCTACGAATTATATTCTTAGTAAACCAGTATTACCAAAAAAGTATACTAGACTACTATTATTATATTTTTTAATAAAATTGGTGCAAATTTGTTTTTNTATTCTTAGTAAACCAGTATTACCAAAAAAGTATACTAGACTACTATTATACTAGACTAGACTACTATACTATACTATAGTATACTAGACTACTATACTATATTTTTTAATAAAATTGGTGCAAATTTGTTTTCCTCTTGTTATAAAGTACCTACAGAAGATCTCAATTGTGCCTCTTGACCCACAGAGCCTAACTTTATCTGACTCTTTACAGAAGAAGTTTCCCGCTCCTGATCTAAACAACGTACAAGAAATTAATTCAGTCAAGGACATGACAATAAGATTATTTTTCTCATCAGCCTTATTATTTTCAGAGTGTAATTTTGCGGAACATGGACCTTGTTACACATGCATATTTTGCAATAGAGCAGAAAAACCTGCAACAACTTCTGAGTGAGTAATGGTCAGACCTTCCAGAAGCTCAACTACCCTCTTCACGCCAGGCCAAAACAGGCTAGGCCACTCTGGAGACGTGCTCCTCAGGGCCAGGAACAGATCATTAATCTCAACAGTACGTCTATGGATACAGTACAGTACCAGACACTCATTCATCACCCTCAGCCTTCCAGACTAACACACCATGGACCAGGCTCATTCGTGAACCATGATCTGCAAAATAAAAACAAAGGTCCACTACGCAGAATACCTCTGGGGTCATAACTATAGTTCCTTAGACCAGCCAAACTACGTATGAGGTAACATATGTGTAAGTCGTGAGTAAATCCTGGGAATCAGTGATCATGCTCATAATCATAATTAATAACAATAATAATATCATAAAATAAACATTATAAGTAAAATAAATATTAAATAATTTAAAACCACTTCAGAACAACTGTAATAGGCATATAAAGATGCATAAGGAATGGACTTTTCCCTAGGCAAGAAAACAGGACATAAGGATCTCATGTGAAATATCGTATTAAACTAAACACTGAATAGCTCTACCTAAAACAGGTACATAGGACCCTAAACACCAAGGTGGCCTCTGAATCACCTTCCTGGAAGCCAAAGGTCCCCAACTACAGAGTCTGAAAACCACAGAAATGGACAACTAGGAAATCCAGATTTCTGTGTCTTCTTTATCCCTAATATTGGGACAATAACTACAGCTTTCTCAAAGGTTTGTAAGGGGGAGAAAGGCTCTTCCTTTCCGTCTGGCCGCAGCCATCAGGGTTCTTAAAAGTTAAATGACTTCCAGGAAACGTAGCAGACTCATAAAACCTTAAATTCCTTTCCACTCAAAAATCTCAAACCATCTATTTTGTGTGTACAGGTTGTTCAACTAAAGGAATAAATGTCTGTTAAACAAAAAGGTTTGTAAGGAATAAATAAGATAAATAAAAATTCCTTTTACAGTGAGTAGCACACAGTAATAATTAGCTATTATTATCATTTTTATTAAAGAGTTGGCATCAGATTGTATATACTATAAATGTAATTATTCATTCTGATTATTTCTCTTAATTAGACTATAAGTATTCTCCATATTATCACATACTCTTCATTGGTATATTTTTAATTTAATGGGCCACAAACAGCACTTTAGTTTTACTTTGATTTGGATTTAAATAATTAGTGAGGGTAACTATTTTTGTATATATAGAGTGTCCCCCAAAAATGTATACACACACTTTGAATAATTATAAAGGAACTGTTTATTAAAATACATTTCGTTTTCAAAATTGAGCTATCAGCTGTTAAAGTGTATACACATTTTTTGGGACACCCTGTATTTGTTTATTAACTGTACTTTTTCTTCATATGTCAGTTTATGAGCCTTGTTCAAGAACCCAATGGGAATATCCATGGTTTTTTACAATTATTAATGTTGGGAGATTAAAGATGGTGGTGGACTGAGTGGAAGCTACACTGACACTCTCCCGGGACCAAACTAAAAATACAACAAAAATATAGAAAAATCACCCTGAATAATCAACTGCAACTGAAGACGAGCTGCGGAGCATCCTCATAACCAAGGACGTAAAGTGGAGACCACATAGAGACTGGTAGGAAGTGCGGAGGCACAAGAGGGCTGCCTGGGCTCCCACAGGCAGCAGCTGAAGGTCTTGAAGGATATCTCAGCTGTGGGGGTTCCCACTGAGGACTCGGGGGACTAAACCCCAAGCTGGGCTCCCCAGCCCAGAGCACCAGAACTGAAAAAGGTGCCCACATAACATCTGGCTGTGAAAAGCAGCAGGGTTTCTGTCTGCCAGGGAGAGACATCTGGAAATGCAGGCACCCTCTTAAAGGGCCAATGCACAAAGTTTCGTGTGCAGTCACTCACCGTGGGCTCTAGCAGAGGGAGGGCAGAGTGGATTAGAGCTGTGTGAGGAGAACCTAGGGTTGTGGGCTCTGGAGATAGAGCTCAGAGGGCACCCCTCTGGATTCCTGTGCCAAGTCATTCCTCCATACTGCAGAGGCAGACATTTACCTTCCAAGCAGCTTTTGCCTGAGGGGCAAGCAATTGCCCCACCCTGCTGGAAAACCTCTTACCCTACCCAGAGGAGTTTCTACAGCCTGAGGTTCATTAAGAGAATCAGATTAATCAGCCTGCAGGCAGAGGCAGACTTCACAGTGCTTTGAGTCTTTGCCTGATCTGCTTCTAGACCTGCCCCTTGGAAAAGCAGACTTTGGTATGCATCTTGGTCCTGTCCAAAGGCACCCAGCCCCAGGAGAGGGAACCTCAAGCTGTAGGTTGTTGACAGCTCCAAACAGGGTACTCAAGGCCAGTCACAAACAGTGTCTGACAAACAGCACCAGAGACCCTCCAAAAAGACTGAGAGTCCTAGCAGGCCTACCTAATATATAGAAACAAACTCAAATAGGCAGCCAAAATGGGGAGACAAAAAACAAGCACCAAATTAAAGAACAAGAGAAGTCTCCAGAAAAAGAGCTAAATGAAATGGAGATAAGTAATCTATCAGATATAGAGTTCAGAATACTGATTGTAAGGATGCTCAACAGCATGAGAAAAGATATGAAAACTATGAAGGAAATTAAGAATGACATAGCAGAAATAAAGAATACACTGGAAGGAATAAACAGCAGATTAGAGGAAGCTGAGGACTGGATCAGTGAATTAGAAGACAGGGTAGAAAAAAAATCACTCAATCAGAGATCCAAAAAGAAAAAACAATTAAAAAACAGGAGGACGGTCTAAGGGAGCTGTGGGGCAACATGAAACGTAACAATATTCACATCATAGGAGTGCCAGAAGAGGTCAAAAGTAAGCAAGGGTTAGAGAACCTGATTGAAGAAATAATGGCAGAAAACTTCCCTAACCTGGTGAAGGAAAAAGTCACACAAGTTCAGGAGGCACAGAGTCCCAAGCAAGAAGAATCCAAAGAGGCCCACACCCAAACACATCATAATTAAAATGCTAAAATTATTAATGTTGATTCCAAATGGAAATAAGCTTACCTTCTGGGCTCCCTGTCTTAAGAATGTGCTGGCAAAAGTTTCCAAAATGCAGTTGAGAAAGCCAGCCCCTGTGATTGAAATCTTGCCTCTCTGAATAAACTCTGTCCTGCAAAAAACAAAAATATACATCTTAGATGTCATTTTACATTCAGATATTTAAACCACAGGGATTTCCAACAGCCTAATTACCACCTATAATCACAACAAAAGATTTTGTTAAACAGAGACAGTTTATATAACAGAAGCAACAGCCTTATTCACACTAGAGTATTTGTTTCAAGTTGCTAAGGGAGTAGATTTAAAAGTTCTCACTTTCCCCTCCCCCACCAAAAATTTGTAACTATGGGAGGTGATGGATGTGTTAACTGACCTTATTGTCAGAATCATTTTGCACGATACACATATATCAAATCACTACATCTTAAACTTACACAATGTTATATGTCAACTGCATCTCAATAAAGCTGGCAAGAAGTGAAAATATATGGCTGCATAATCCTAACGACTGCAGAACATAGGATTTCTAGTCATACCTAATAAATAATTCCATGGTGATAGTCCATGATCTTTAAAAAGTTGTTCTACTTGACCCACAATAAACAAATGTAACTAATTCTACATATTTATATCCATTTATTAATTCTAAATATATATGTGTGTCTATATATACCCGTTTCATGCTGTAAAATGGCTTTTTAAAACTGAGTCTGAGACTATGATCAGCAGTATGATCTTGAGTAAATTATTTAGATTCTCTTAACTCAGTTTCCTCACAAGTAAAGTGGGAATAACCACAGTATCTTCCAACTATTATGAGAGGTAAATGAGCTAAAGCATACAACAGAAACGGGAACAGTTCCTGACTTGCAATGAGCATTCATTAAATGTTAGAGAGACACACAGACAGAGACGGGAAAGCCGGACTCCTGGAATGACTTCTTTAATCCTCGATACGAAAGGGAGGTAAAACAGATTCGATGTGCCACGACCCTATTTAAAGTTCTGCCAATATTAATTCTCTCCAATTCATAAAACAGAGGTTTGGATCACACTTGAGAGTGATGTCAGAAAGACGGCAGAATGGGAAGGCCAGGCCCTCCTTCCCCCTTGGAGGCACTGACTTAACAACAACAGATGGACAAACTGCCTTTGTGAGAACTCCATCAACCAGTGAAGAGGGGAGCGCAGAGCCAAGCCGAGCCACATCCAAGCGAGTGAGAACGTTTGCTGCACCTACCTGTCACGGCCCCCCCACCCCGCACAGCGCAGCACCATCCGGAGAAAACTCCCAACTCCTGGCTTCTCGGCCGGGAGGAAAAAAGAAGAGTGGGATGTACGTCCAACACGCAGGTTTTCCATGGGGGCTGCCGGAGGAACCGGCTCCTGGCCCGCCTGTGCAGGATGCTGAAGGGGGGGCAGTGCACCCGGGATGCCGGGGGCCTGCTAGGATCAAAGGTAAGCATGGTGGCTTATTACAGCACCAGAGCCCACAGGCCGACACCCAGGGGTGGGTGTCACATCAGCCAGTGCAGGAGAGCATCCCACCAAGGGGAACCCACAACGACCCGGGCAGAAGGCGGAAGGCAGAAGGAACAGGGCTAAGGACACGCTGCTTTTCTGAAGATTCCCCCTAGGTGGTAGAGTCTTTGTGATTGTAAAGAAATCTGATTCTTCTATAGGACTGACTGGAGAATAAGGTGGGTATAGGAGATGTCAGGAGATGAAGCTAGAAAGACAAATGGAGACCACCAGTCTTCTCAGCCTGAGGAGCTTAGACTTCACCCTGGAGACAACAAGGACTTCTCTTCTGAGGCCACCAAGTGACAGGTACAGATGAACAGGTATCTGTTCGTCACTGACTGAAAGGCTTGTTTTCACTGCTTAATGCTTTCAGACGATCTCCTATCCCCCATTCTCGCACAATGCCTGCACTCAGTGAGTTCAAGGAGCATCTGTGAAATGACTGAATTAATTGATTTAAATTTCTTTACAATCAAAAAGAATCTACAAAGGAAATATTTCCCCTACCTTCTTAGATTTCTATGGAAAGGAGATATGAACCACGGCTCTTCTCTTCTCTGTGTGTGTGCGCGCGCATATATGAGCACATTTACTGACACTAAGAAAAATGTTCTAAGAAAATTATGGATCCAAAAAACTATGATTTGGGTAAGAATAGTTATCTAACTTAATTATTAATTAGACCTTCTCTCCAATCCTCTTAGATCAGTAGCTTCTACATTTAGACCATGCACAAAGAAAAACAAAGCCTTCAGAACACTTGTGTCCCCCCCCCACACACACACACACGTTATCCTAGCCAATCCAACATAAATAGTCTAGGCAGATAGTTAAGTCTAGGCAAAGCAGCTTCCACCTCTTAGATTTAAGCCTCTATAAAATGATTTGTTCCTGTGACACTAATCTTTCCCGTCTTCACTCCTGATGAGTCAGAGTAGAATTTAACAGTTATTTTAATATTTTAAAACAAAAAGTTGAGCAGTCTTACTCTCTTGGGACAGATGCACTCTTTGATCCTCAAGGCAACTGTAGGTGAGGGATTAATAAAAGTCTCTCTTACATCATATCCTAATGATATTTCTTTTCGCCAATTTTGGGAGAAGTCTAAGTGCTCAGAAAAGCACGCTCAGGGCTTTCCCACACATGGGAGAGTAGCAGGACAGGGAGGCGGGGTCGGGCCCTTGCCGACAATGAGATGAGAGTTTATTACATTTTAAGTCTGCCAGAGAAGACGACGTTGCATTCCCCTAAATAACTCACTAGCAAAGCACATCAGATATTTTCTTCTTACTGCACATAGGTCACCTAAATCCCTCATGCAGGATAAGCCTCACGTAAGTTCCTGTGCAAAACACAGCAGGTTACACAACAATATACAGTTTAATTTCAGCTCTTTCTGACGAAGAAAGAAAAGATGGGTGGATGGATGGATGGATGGATGGATGGATGGATGGATGGATGGATGGATGGATGGATGGACAAACAAATGGATAGAGCTGAAATATTAACAAGAGAATCTCTGGGCATTAGAATTATAGGTGTTACTTATTTTGTTTTTTGTTTTTTTTACTAAATTTCTGTAATAAACATGTATTACTTGGCAATCAGCAAAAATATTAATAAAGCCCTGAGGATCATTTTTATATAAATAAAAATTCTTCTTTATAGCCTCTGCGCTACCAAGAACCATCTCCAGCAGAGGAACATGCTAACTTCTGGCTTACCCTTCACTTACAGCCTCATTAAATCTCCTGTTGCCTTTCCTTTTCCCACACTAGGTAACCTCGGTTCTTGGTGCTCTTTGTCCTAAGACTTCCTCCCACACCCAAGCTTGAAGTGGTCTGTTTCACACAAAAGACATAAGGTGACTCAAGTTTTCCTACACACGTCTTTTATCTGTTAAGCCTAAAGGAAGGACTGCATCTCCTTTACGATGTTATATACCTGGGTCACACCTACTCTTCAAAAAACCGCATAATAACAGTGTATATTTTCTATCAGACATTGCATTATCTTCTGAGGTTGTTGCTCTTAAATTTTTTTCTAACTTTTACTGAGGAAACTATGGTAAAGAGAAGTTAAATAACTTGTCCAAGGCCATATAACTTGATGTCACGCAGATTCATTTTCTACCATCTCAAAACTGCAGTCCTGCTCCTACCCCAGTTAACGACACAACCATCCTCTTAGTCTACGAGCTTAGAAGTCTCAGCAACATGTTCTATGGTTCCCTTTTCCAATCAGTCCACTCAGTCAGTCAACAGGTTGTGTTTCGTTCCTTTCTAACGTCTCTCCGCAGTCAGTGTCATTCTCTCCCTTGCTTCTGCTATCACCTGAGTTTAGCACAGCATATTCTCTCTCCAGGACCATCTCACTGCCTCCCAGTGGGGTTCCTGCCTCCAGTGGGGGCTCTGTACCATCCAACTGCCCACAGTCAGCTTCCCAAGCCCACTCTGATGTGGTCCCTGGCTGTTCACTAAGGCACAGAGAATAAAGCTGGCCTACTCGGTAAAGATTCATCCCTCTTGCTGCATAGTGTTCCACTGTTTGAAAACACTCCAGATTACTTATCTATTCTACTGAAGATGGACATTCAGAATGCACCCAGTTTGGAGCTACTACCAACAGTGCTATAATAAAAATATGTATAATGCATCCAGGTACATATGTGCACGAGAGTCTCTAGAGTATCTAGCAATTAAATATCCGGGCCACAAGACAGGGATAATTTCATTATTTTGTTTTCTGTTACTCCTCACAGGAGGATATTTTTTCCATTGACTTTTAGAAAGAGTGGAAGGGAGAGGGAGGGGGAGGGAGAGAGAGAAAGAGAGAGAGAAAAACATGGATGTGAGAGACACACATCGACTGGTTGCCTCCCACACGTGCTCAGACAGGGCCCAGGAATGAACCTGCAACCCAGGTACGCGCCCTTGACCGGGAATCGAGCCCGAGACCCTTTGGTGTGTGGGCCGACGCTCTGACCACTGAGCCACACCAGCCAGGGCACAGTTTCAATTTTAATAGATCATGCCACATGTTTTTCTGAGTGGTCGTACCTGTATTTTTTTCCCTTCATTGCATCAATTCCAATTGCAACGACTAGCACATGGTAGGAAATCGACAATCCATCAGGGACGAAAGGATGGAGCAAAGAAGGGAGGGTCGGGAAGAGGGAAGGGAAAAGCAAAAGGAGGGGAGAAAACGACAGCCCATCTCAGCACTTGGCTGGGGTCAGTAGGGGGCAGCCTGCACCTGGCTGAGAGACCAGCCGCCCCAGCATCTGGCAAATGATGTAAAAAGAGGCTCGTTCACTCACACGGCGCCATATCTGAGTCACATCTATCCGTCTGTCTGTCCACAGGCGGACCCAATTCAACACAGAGCACAATGGAGTCACAACAGAGGGCGCACGGCTCCCGTGTCGGAGCAGCTCTGCCAGGGTGAAGGGCAGCTCACGCCATCTCTCCCCTCCGTTGGGGTCATTTAAAATCCTGGTGCCTCCTGGACTGGGGGAAACAGCAACGTTCAGAGGAAATATGGACCAGGAATTAATGCCCAGAGCACACAGCCACCAGCTCAGGA